CAGTGAAACTGTTGCAGTGTCATCACTGGCATGGTTCGATGCACAGATGAAATTGCCCTAAAAAGCTACACGGGGAATAAGTGCCTTGAAACCCTAAATAATTCAGCCACTTTATTTTTAAATTAAGTGAGCGACAGACTAGAGAACAAGTTCCTACCTGCGCTAGAGCTTAAGTCTTTGCAGTTAATTTAACACGCCTGAAACAGGAGGGAAGTTACTCGATGTTCCAGCTGAGGTCACATCTATATTGGGAGCACTTTGCCAGTAGAGGTAAACTAGTGTGGACATAGAAGAGCACTACTATCCCCCACTGAAAGAAGAAACTTTACCCTTAGAAAAGATCAAGACGACGGAGAGGAAGAACACACAGTGCTCAGGCCTGCTCTGCATGGCTTTTATATTACTATAGCTATGTTGGCTAGGGGTGTGATTCCTAACCAATACAGTTATACCGGTACATCATCTTAACATGTGGATGCAATTATACCAGTACAACTAATATACACTAGCACTGGAGAGGTTAAAACATGATACTGACTGAGAGTACAAAAGAAAGGGGCAGCTTCTCCTGTTAAATATATAGCATTCTAGCCCAGGATAGAAGACTGAGAAGAGGTAAAGTTTCAGACAGATCTACACTGAATAGAGTTATTAGCAATATAAAAAAAAAATAGATGTCTTAGCAGCTGCACTGCTCTAATTGCAAAGTCAAGAATTAGCTGCAACATCAGCTCATTTCTGCTTTGGCCAGCCAGAAGGCATCCATACAACGCTGCCCGCATTTGCTCCATGGCCTGAAGTGGGAAGTAAATACCCTGTCCCATGAGTGAACAGTTGGAAGAGAATAGGATCCCGTAACTGACCTAGGTATTCTGAAGAACCTGTATCACCTTTCTTCGGGGTAAATGTACTGATCTGAAGCGCATTACTAAATATGAACTGGGTGCTTTTACTAAGTGGTAAACGGATGACAGAGATATAAAGACAGCTTCTTCCAGCCTAATAGCAAGTGAATACATCCTTCTAGCAAAAGGCAACACAGCATACTGAGCTCACCATGCATTAGCATTTACAAAAATAGGATTTCCCCTTAACATCCCGTCCTACCTTCCTGCACTTTATAAGATGATAGGGAAACCGACAGGCCCTGATTTGATGAGATTTATCATATGGACATTGTATTAACCTCTCCGGATCCAAAGCATCAACTGGAAGAGAAGGAATAAAAAGACAAGAAAACATTCTATAAAACAAGATCTAAGAACATCATGAACACAATTAACAAGTATGGAAACATACTAGGTACTGGAGATTTCCTCTAATGGGGTTAAGCCATCAACTGTTAATAGCCTAGACAAAAATGTAAAATTGTTAAGTTGGCACTCGTGTACACCCAACCAAATTCACTTTGGACTTCTGGTGAGTGGAATATTAAATTAAAAATGAGGAAAGTGCAGTCAGTAGTGCAGAGTGGCCAGTATATATCAACGAGTACACTTATGCAGAACAGTGAGCTGGAAATAAAC